AAAGTGAGCAGGAAGTTTCACAAAGTCACAGATTTGTTTGTAAATAGTTGTGGTGTGGAAGACGTTGAACGTCACGTGTTGGCCGGCCGTTATCCACTGGATCTGACCAGAATACGTGTTTGATGTCTTTGCTCTTACCTTGAGAGGAGCTTGGGACTTGTAGGACTCAGGAACCTCCCAGGTCAGCAGGACGGAGGTCTTCGTCACGGCCTTCACTCCAAAGTTTTTGGTAAAAACTGCAGGATGATGATGAGGATGGGAGTTATTAACTGGATGATTAAGTCATGAATAAAACATCAGTGTGATCACACAGGTGTCCTTGGTGGAGATTTGGGCTGCAAAAAAAATCCAGTTTTTTGTTAAATATTTTGTTGTTTTTTGGTGAATATATTTGCAAAGGTAGGTCGAGTGATGCCTTTGACTATGGTTGATGTCTGGAGAGAGAGAAAGGTCTGGGTTTTCAAATTGTAACTGATCACATGACACATGTTAAAGGTGTAATCCTAGCAGCCAAAGCTGATGCAGAAGTCCGACCGGCTCTTAGGATATAACTCGTTGTAAATACTTGTTTGGAAATATATTATTATATATATAAATATATAAATTATATGAAAAAATTAATTTATGTTTACTTTTGCTTTTCTTTCGTGTTGCGAGTGAAGTCTGTAAAAATAAGGAGATGAGAAGCAACGTAGAGTGAATAAAGAAAGGTGTTTATATCAAATCTATTCGTGTCGCATTGCTATTATATTTTTTAATACTTTTTTCACGCCCCCCTGCGTGGGCACAACACTACTGCCGCCGCTGCTGCTGCTGCTGCTGCTGCTAGAGCTGGTGTTAGACCTAAACAAATTATACTTTTGTATAATGTTTCACAGGGCAAACCCCTGATTCTCTGTCAGAATAAAGACAGCTTTCCTCACATCCTTCTTTAACTGCAGATACAAACACATGGGCAGGTCTCACAACAACAACCTGCAGAACATCCAGGCTGGTATGAATATATTATCTGTCAGGTGTTGTTAGAATCATTTTCCTCTTGTATTTCCTTCTTTCACTCTTCCATGTTTCTAAATGCCTGCAAATGTATCTCCTGGCCACAGAGGTGTAAAAATGATTTATTCTACAAACAGAACAAATAAGACGTCGGTGAAAACATTAATAATGAACTGGCATCGGGAGAAAACATTCTGTTTCGCTTCAGTGACTGAAGCTGTGGCTGTGTCGGAGCAGCATTTGGTGACGGACGCTTTTCTCCCTTCACTGTAATTGGAGCTTTGTCATTTCTGCAGCTCAGCACTTTTCTCTTCTTAATGTGTTATTTTTCACAGAATAAAACAAACTCACAATTACAGCCATATTCAATATGAGCTTTGATATCAGTCCTGGTGTCTGTACCAGGACTGTTGTAGCTAACGTTGGCTCTGGTGTCTGTACCAGGACTGTTGTAACTAACGTTAGCTCTGGTGTCTGTACCCGGACTGTTGTAGCTAACGTTAGCTCTGGTGTCGGTACCAGGACTGTTGTAGCTAACGTTAGCTCCGGTGTCTGTACCAGGACTGTTGTAGCTAACGTGAGCTCTGGTGTCTGTCCCAGGACTGTTGTAGCTAACGTTAGCTCCGGTGTCTGTACCAGGACTGTTGTAGCTAACGTTAGATCTGGGGTCTGTACCAGGGTTGGTTTTTTTTTTTTTAGAATAGAATGGCTAATTTTGGGACGTTTAAGCCTAAACTCATTCAAGTGTTGGGTAATCTACCTGGCATGGAGGTGGACATGGTCCTGCTCTGGATGCTGGGGCTGATAGGACCTCCACCTTTGCTGGTAAAGGCTTGGACTCTGATGTCATAGGTGGTGTCCGGCTGCAGGTCCTGGATGGTCATCCGTGTCTCTGTGGTGCTGTTGGTGTTGTTGTGCAGGCTGTTGATGTCACGGTACACCACCAGATACTTTACCATCTTCCCGTTCCTCTCAGCCACAGGTGGAGGGTCCCAGGCCAGCTGGGTGGAGGTGGCGGTCAGCCCCACCACACTCAGATTCAGAGGGTAACTGCTGGGGGTGTCCTCGGGGGTGCTGATCTCCTTCACGTACTCCTCGCCGTTGCCTGCTCGGTTTTTGGCGCACAGTTTGAAGATGTAGGTGGCGCCCTTGTGGAGGCCGGTGACTGTGAAGTGGTCGTCGGTCTTTCTGAAGTCCTTGACGGTGAACGTGGTCTCCTCAGTTCTTTTGTACTGCAGCTGGTATCCCACATGCTCCCCCACCATCTCTTTAGGAGGCTGCCACTGGATCAAGGCCGTGTTCCCGATGGTGGTGCTGATCATCATGGTGGGTTTAGCCGGGACTGGAGTCGACACAGAACGAGGCTGTTAGCATTCATTTCATTGTGTATTTGTGGAGTTCAGTGGGTGGAGGGGGTCAATGTTTGTGACCCATGCAGTCAACAACTGTTAAAGTCAGCCTGACACAAAGAACCAGGCTGTGACTTGATGTCAATGACACAAGCCAGAATTCTACAAAGAAGGAATTCTAAATAAAATAATGTTTAGACTCAACTGGAGTCGATGACAAAGAAATACATTCAAATTAAAAACGTTCATCTATTTTTTTTTTTAACGTTTAAACCCTTATTTGAAAATTTCTTTACCGACTTGTCGTTTTGACTTCCCCCGTTATTTGAAAATTTCTTTACCGACTTGTAACCACTGTGATAAAGTTTCCCAGGGACAGAACATGAACTCTTGTTACTGGTGTCAGAAGGGAAGTGGACTTTCTGAGGAACAAACTCATCTTCTCTGACACACACCTGCTCCCGTGGTGGTGACCACCTTGGCTTTGCTGCGCGCTCCGTCCCCTTTGGTGGTGTACGCAGCTACAGTCAGGGAGTAGGTCGTCTCCGGGAGCAGACCTGGGATAATGGCCTCCTGTATGATGGAGAGAGGCGGAGACAAAGAGACGGGCAGTTAAAGTGCTGGTTGTGGTGCTGCGGTCCACACGTTAGACAGACACATTAGACAAGTCAAGCAAAAGCTGCATGGTCGACTCCCGGTCCATCTGAAGTCCATCTACACAGAGAAGAAAAGTCAAGAGAGAATGAGTGACTGTGGACCTGCGGTTCATTCCCATCAAACGCTCCCTGTACTGTATGATTCCTGGTAAATTACTGTAGTATTTGACAGAGCAGGAGTTCACCGGGTCCACAAGAACCCCCCCTCCCCCAGGGGCTCTGAGGTCCTCGGTGCCACAGACTGTTCTGATGAACAAAAAACAGAGACAAGTTGTGCCACATTTGATGTCTTCCTTAATGAGGAGAGGTGTTGAGCTGATGAACAAACAAGCAGCGATCTGCATGAGTGTATCTGAAGGTGGGAATAGTCATCTGGGAATTGTAAATGTGAGCAGCAAATTGTTGGCACAGCCCTCAGTGACCTTGATCAGTTCTACGTGGTCGGGATTTCAAATCAGACCTAATTAATCCTGGAGGATTTTAGACACCCTGAAGTTCTGTTGGGCTCGTTGGACGCAGAACAAACACATTTATCAGAGCAGGAACAGTAGATACCTAATCTCAGCCCTCAGCGATTAACATTAGAACAATGGTTCCCAAAGCGGGGGGCGGGTGCCCTCATTTCTCACACCCCTACTTGGCTTAAAATTTTAACATTTTCATTTTTTTGTTCCACAGAGGGGAAATACAATACAGTGAAGAAACAACCAGAGTTCCACTTCTCTCTGCTGATAATTTCTAAACAGTCATCACAGGAAGTTCTTTTTTTCAGCTAATTTTACAGAGCACGGCTAAAATCAGCTGGTACATGGAGACTTTCTGCCTGGTCTGGGGCCAAAAAAGGTGAGAGATAAAAGAGGTCACGTCACTCAGACAAAGATTGTCAAGGCTTTAAAAGCCTCATTATTATACACTGCTCTAATCCCTTTGTTCAAGTTGGTCACTGGAGACTTTGTTTTTTTTTTGCTTTGGAAAAGAGAAAATAACTGAAAAAAAACAAAAAACTAGTGGAACTTTTTCTGTAAAAGCAGAACAGGACCACAGGTGAAAACACATGGGAAAGTTTGAAAATAAAAACGTATTTGCAATTAAGTATCAAACTGCCTTCCTCCTATGTATGTATGTATATATATTACTTTTAATACAAGTATTACAAATATGCGTCAATCTTTTCTGGAGTACGGATCCTGTCAGAAACTAAACTCTGACCTTTTGTCCTTTTCTTTTTAACCTTCACCAAACCTGGAGGGTTCATTTTCAACCACAAAACGACTATCAGTGTTCAGTGCAGCTCACTGTGCTGATTCATCACCAGTGGGACTGTAACACTGANGTCAGTTTCAACCACAGCCTCAGTCAGCAGTGCATGTTAAATTAAAGAGCAGCTTACACTGACACATCAACCCTGGTCTCAGTCTGTGGGGACCAGCAAAAGCCCCCCCCAAACCTTTTTGTTCTCAGGACCAGTTGGCCGGTACCAGGCGGTTCTGTTGACCTGTGATTGTAAAATGTTTTTTAAGGATCAGTAGATTTTCAAATATAAAATATAAAATATTTTATGGCTTTTATTTTGTTAGTACTGGAGTCTGAGGGACGTTTTATTTTGTGAAAACCTACCAGGTATCTTTATTGAACTTACAAAGACATAATACAGCCCAAGTTCTAATCTGACCCAAATTTAATCCTAACTCCAAACCAGTTCTTGAACCAGTCTGTCTAATACTACAGTAATACACACTCTAACTCTGCTCTGACTCTAACACACATCCAAACTAAAAAAGGACAAAATGTCCACCAAAAACAAGGGTAGGTTCCCAATAGATGTCCCCATAAGTATAGGTATGGCAGGTACTCACACACACACACTCAGAGACAGACAGTTGAAATGAATTGTTCAGACGGAGGAAATTGCCTGAAGGCTGCAGGATGAGGAAGAAAATGAAGAGGAAATCTAATTGACAGCAGCAGTAAATGCTCAGAGGAAACTCAATAAGTGACTACTGTCATTTCATCTCTCTGTGTTTGTGTCTTCCTTTCATTTTTCATATTCTTCTGTTGATTCTGATCAACCTGTGCAGGTCTGCGGCTGACGGTGTGGATGTGACGACGTTTTTCCCACAGAAACAGTAAAAACACCGATGCAGTGAAGTTTCCGTCTGAAGTACAAACTGGACACTGGCTGTCCGTCCTCTATCTCAATCTGGCATTTGTTTATCAGCTGTTCTGCCCCCCCTTCCTCCCCACCTCCCCCCTCCCACTTGACGTCATAACCAGCTGTTATCGTCGTGACCATCTCTGCGTGGGAACCGTCTCCTGACACGAGAACGTGTCGATGCAGCTGGAATTTAAAACAGATGTGTTGATCAACAACTCAGTGTCAGTTGCTGTGACTGATCAGATCGGTACCAAGTGTGAACGACACGGACACGGAGTCACTGCAGATGGGATTGGATTGGAATGCGGCTGGAACTCAGTCAAGTTTGAAGTCGACTTAAAGACAAGGAAACGCTGAGTGGAAGGAGAACACAAACGGTTCACTGTTAATATAAATAATAATTTAGTTCCTAATTTGTCTCAGCATTTTTAAAAGACAAAAACATGTAGAAAATGAAATAAAAACCTTCCAAGAGAAATCTATCTATCTATCTATCTATCTATCTATCTATCTATCCATCCATCCATCCACCCATCCATCCATCTATAAAACTAAAGCAGAACACAGCAAAACAAAACTAAACTAAAACCAGACCACAAATGTTTCAGTGATTCTCTAATCCCAACATTTATATGTATTTCTTCACCCTGGTGCTGTTTACCCATTATTGCTGTGTAATATTACCACACCTGTGTTGAATGCTAATGAAGTGGGTAATTATTATTAGTCACTGCTGCTGCTGTTGTGATGAATTCTTTTATCATTTCCAGGCAGATTTCCTTGAAGAGATGAATAGAATGTGGACAGTGAGATGAGATGAGATGAGATGAGATGAGATGAGATAGAAGTGGTGTTCAGGGTTTATGGGCTGGGCTGTGAGAAACATTGGTAGCCTACGCACTCCATTGTCAAGTGGCCAAGGCTGGAAATAAATTAGCCTGGAACAACGTTCTAATAGAACGCCACGCTGACCACGCAAACGAGACGCCCAAAATAAACCACCCGTCACGACGAGCTATGACCGATGAATCAAGAGAACCTGGGGGGTTGGGGGGGCAGTGGTGGTGGTCGGGGTGAGGAGGAGGACACGACCCCAGGGCTTCCTGTCTCTCATCGATGCACAGCAGGTTTCAGACCTTTCTGTAGACAGGAAGTGCAGAACATGATGATGTCACACACAGAGGAAGTAGAAGAAGAGCAGGAAGAAGAAATAGGAGTATAGGTAGGGCAAGAAGGACGAGGAGGAGGAGGAGGACAAGGAGGAGGAGGAGGAGGAGGAGGAGACCTCCAGCCTGACAGTTCTTATTTTTATTTTAGTTTTCAAACTTCACTTTTTTTTGTCTCAACTTCTCTGCCTCAGACCTGCAGCTGTTTCCACGTCCGTTTCTTTTAGAGGGTCTATTATTGATCACTTCGTTAAAATCCAGCCAAGATCTGATTGGCCGTGCAGCCTTATCAATACAGCGGTCAGCATTTTGTTGTATTTGTATTTTCTTACTTTACAACCGATTATTGATCCACATTTGTTTATCTTCAGACCAGTCAGCCTTTGTTTAATGTGTTTTCCGCACAGACCCCCACTCCACAGTTCGACCACTTTTAAATGACTTTTTCTTTAGGAGTAACTGCTGATGTGCAGCTGATAAAGAGATGAAATATTTAAAATGTGAAAACACTCACACCATCCTGTTTTTTTTACTGTCACGACAGGACGTGGCTCAGCCGCCGCGTCGTTACCTTTGGCTGCTTCCATAAACTGTGTCCACACTGTGACTCAGATCTACTGCAGGTAATAAAGAGGATGTGAAAAAAAAAAAACAAACAAAAAAAAAAAAACAAAACTCACTCACCCCAAGACAAATAAAGCCAAAGTGTCCCTCCAAGTATAAATGGACTGAGATATGTGGCCATTACAGCCAAAGCACTGAGCCTGGGTCGGAACTATTCCACGGCCTCTGTCGTCATAAAGTAATAATAGAGGGCGCTTCGTATGCAGTGTGAATCCCCAGAGCCCCGGAGTAAGCATCTCTAAAACTTTAACCAGCTCTAACCTCAAAAATCAGCAGCACGGAGGACGAATATTTAAATATTGCCCGCTTAATCCATAAAACTGGACCCACGGCAGCGCGGCGGTTTGGCCAGTGGACCTTTGAGACTCCAGTGGAATATATTATATTTACACAACTCTCTGCACATTCACAGCATTGAACCACAGCAGAATGGTTTCTCTCTATAAAAGTGCTGCAGCACGTTTATCGGGGAAACGCGACGTGACAGCGCAAAGGCCCCATTCTGGTAAATCATTCAGGTTTGATGGCATCTTATTGGCCAACAGAGACTGCGCACAGTGATGAAAATACAATGAGGAGTGATTTTAGCTAAGTTTCATTTTTAATCTGCTGCTAAAGGCCACAGGACATTTGTCTGCCCACTCCAGTGTGGACCGGATGCCGGTGATTTAGGGACAAAGGACTTTTTATTCAGTTCCCTGACTGAACATGAAGGTGACGGACGTGACGTCCGTCACCTTCAAGAAACAAGTTGACGAGGCTACAGTCAACAAGTGCTCCTCATGTTTAGTATTTTCTTACTGTCCTCCTAAATAAACAGATATAGCTGGTAGATGTCTTGTGTCCTGCTCATGTACTTTTCTGCCACACCTGACTTTGTCACACAGTACAGACGTTCCTTCCTTGGCATTCCAGTCATCAGGATTAGTTTATTAATTACAAAAACAAAAGGAAACAAGAAGTCAAGTTGCTCCACTGAATGTGAAAACTAAAAACTGAATCATTATTTTTGTTTTTTTTAACGCTTTCAGCTTTTCACACAATCTGCACTAACTGTGGTAAGGTTCTACAGTAATGAAGAGCTAGTGTTTTATAAACAGCTGACGTGTATATAAATCACATTATTTTACAACTAGAAAATTTGAACTGATTAGCAAGAAACAAAAAACAACAGAGAAATTCAAAGGCGGCTGCTCTTCATCAAAGACCTGCAGGATTCCTCGCTTCTCTCACTGTTTTTTTTTTATTACAACACTTTGTGGCTGCAGATCAGACGTTGCCTCCGTTGTTTTTGGAGAGATCAATATCAGCAGCGTTTCTCTGTGCACCGCTGCACCGCGTGTAGCACCGTAGGATGACGATGTCGCCGTTTCAACTAAAAACTGCAGCAGCTCAGAAAATAAAAAACAACTCTGTTTCTGCAAGACAGCAACAAACGAAAAGATCCAAGAATCTTCAGAAGGAATTGTTTTGTCTTGGAGAACAGCGTTGTGTCATCCTGTGAGCAAAGACGTGGTCAGAAAAACAAAACTGTTCAAAAGCAGCAGAAAATGGTCCTATCTGTCACTGAGCAAATATAAAAGGAGCCTGGTCTCCAAGTCAGTGCATAAATATTAAGTCTATTGTCTGTTGAATAAAGGTGAATTACACAACTAAGATGAACTGCTATGGAATTTTCCTCGTCAAATGAGCGGCACCAGTATTTCTATCAGGGCTTTTTTTTTTCACCTGTTATTCAACATGATGACGACTTCAGGCCGTGGTAGAAACTCATCTACACTGGTTGTCAATCACATCAACTCTTCAACAAGAAGATCACTCCAGCTCCATCAGCGGGGGCAGCAGCCAGCGACTGATTAGTGTCTACACCAGGGGGCACCAACCTTTCTGAAACTGAGAGCCACTTCAAGGACACTCAGTAATACGAAGAGCTACTTGTTTGATACAGACCTCCCTAACAATGTGATAATAATCAGTTCTGGGACATACAACAACAGACACTCTTCTTACCATCGTCATTCCACCCATTGGAATGTGTAAGTGTAAGTGGTTCAAAGAGCACAGTAACAGTAGCATTTTTGACTCTCTTGTTGACTAGTTTTATAGTTAACAAATTTCTCCACAGCAGATCATTTGCCTCCATCTCTCCATTTTTAACTCTCCTCTTTTACAACATCAACCATCTTCACCTCACCTTAACAAACTTTATCTCCAATCTGCTCCACCTTAACTGATCTGCTCATGTCTGATCCTGACCACCCTGGTCACTCCCAGACATGATCAGATCAGTTAAGGTGGAGATGTGGTGAGTGAGAACATGGAGATGGTTGGTGTAACAGCAGGAGGCGGGAGACAGGGGTGAGATGGAGGGAGATGATTCTTGGTGGGAGCAGCTGAAAGAAGAAGAACTTTTAGTAGCACCTAACATGACGCGCCCCCTATCGTCCCACTCAGACTCCTCCTCCCACACCTCATTCATCGGGGCGTGTTCAGGGTCCTCTGTTATCTCTCGTGGACGAAGGACAGACAAAGAAGACGTTGTTTGCAGCTGCTGGTTCACTGACGTTTTTATTTACCTCCACAGAGATGAGCCACAGACAAGTCTCCATATCTGATCACATCAGTCCAAGCCCACGCTTCACAGCCATTAGGTCTGAGGGAAGGGGGTG